TGTGTGTGTGTGTGTGTGTGATCATCAGGGTGCCACAGTACGTAACGACATGGACAGCGTGGTGGTGAGTCGGGTGGTGAAAGGTGGAGCAGCAGAGCGGAGCGGCCTCCTCAGCGAGGGAGACGAGATCCTGGAGATCAACGGGGTTCCGATGCGCGGGAAACATGTCAACGAAGTCCACGACTTACTGGTGAGGGGTCATCACTGCTGACTGTATTTGCACCTGAAAAAATGTATTCATTTATTGATTATATTTAAGTTGTTTCTGAATAGATTTTCTTTCAAATTAAGTTATACCTCCACCAGCATAGCAATAAAAAATGCTAAAACTGTAAGCTCCTGGGTAAATACTGTCAGAAAAAGTATTCTTTTATGGAAATGCTTTCCCTGTCATGTTTAATTCATCATGTCTCACCTTTTCCATCAGCAACAAATGCACGGCACTCTGACCTTCCTCCTCATCCCGAGCTCTCAGATTAAACCTGCCCCACACAGACAGACTGTGGTAAGTCTCTAATGATGTGGGTGTGTGCAAGTTCGCCTGTCTGTATGCATGTAACGCCAACCTTCAAGTTGTAAACCCTCGTCCTCAGATGCACGTTCGGGCTTACTTCGATTACGACCCCTCTGATGATCCCTTCGTGCCGTGCCGGGAGCTGGGCCTGTCCTTCCAGAAGGGAGACATCCTCCATGTCATCAGCCAGGACGACCCCAACTGGTGGCAGGCCTACAGGGATGGAGATGAGGACAACCAGCCCCTGGCTGGACTCATTCCAGGTGAAAATCATACCGGGGCTGAATATCAATATTTAATGTGCTGCTTCACGAGGGTTGATAACAACTGCAAGGACATTGAGCTACCACTGCAAAAGGCTAGAAAAGTCATACATGAGTATTATCTTTATTATGTGTGTATGTTTTGGAGTGCTTTTTATTTTTATACACACGTGACCTGTCAAAAAGACTTGGTTCAGGAGGTTGAGCAGACGTCTAGTGATCAGAAGGTTTCTGGTTCCGACAGTGTGTTTCCAACTGTCCTTAACAAAACACTAAACACCTAATTGTTGCACCTAACATCAGTGTGAATCTGTGTGTGTGTGGATGAATGAGACAGCTTTTGAAACTTGTCTGTGACTAATAACTAACCTGGCAGGAAACACCACCCATCTGGCACATCAAGCAGATTAAAACAAACACCTAAGAATTATTCACGATTACTCTCTGACCCAGGACTGTTGTGGCTGGGAGAAAATTGGGTTAAGCACTGGAAATGGAAAGCAGGGCTTCTTTTTACCTGCTCCTCCACATGTCTGGAAAGTGTAAAAAGACATTTTTAGCACAAATAAAGGCTCAGTACTTGTAACGAAGCCACTGTTATTCATCAACTATCATGTGAACCAAATGTTGAAATGTGTTTTTTAATAAACATGGGGCTTTTGAAATGGAAAAGAAACTGGATTTGTGTGTGTGCAGTGTGTTTGCTGACTTGTTTCCATCTGCCTCTCAGGGAAAAGCTTCCAGCAGCAGAGAGAGACCTTGAAGAAAACTATAACAGACAGGAGTCAAGAGCACCAAGGTGAATGGATAATGTTTAAAAAAAGAACTGATAAGATTTGCATTTGCAGCGTCTAGGAAGAAAATGTGAAATGATAATCCAGCTCTGACAGCTAAATCTTTTCACTTGTAATTATTCCAGGGAAACATTGGTATGCAAAGAAGAGCAAGAAGCAGAGGAAGAAGAACATATCAGGCTTAAGCAAAAATACTGGTAAGACTTTAACTTCTCACCTGCAGCTTCACAAACTGAGAAGAAGAACGTGCCTCTGTCTCCCCACAGATAAGCTACACACCTAGTCCAAAAAAACGTCTCCCACTGTCTTTGCTTATTTACAACTTAGCGACAGGCCGCTTCCACTCTGGGCAGCTGCCAAGTGTCCACACACTGTCAGTCTTAACCTCACTCGTTAGCTGGAGCTGACACGTCTTGTCGTTATACAGCAGCTTGTCCAGACTCGACGTGTCACAGATCAGATTAGTCCCCATCTTCACAGACGGGATCTGAGGATGCACCAACAGGTGCTCAGCAGGCGTCTCAAGGGTTTGGAGGGACCTGTGTTTCTATTGGTTCACTTAAAGAAACACATTTATACACAGACACACACTCACTGGCTGGTACGCTGTGTTTTATGTGTGTGTTGCTACAACTATGAATCGGAATGCTGCTGAAAGACTTGAGATACAATGAGACACAATAAAGTAATAGTGAGATCATTAATAGATCTCTTAATCCTCTCACATGTTTCCCGCCTCCACAGGCAGGTTACAGGTCAGAGTGAGTTACAGAAGAACTATAAGGGATTTGTTCAGGGACATTTCATTAATCCCTCCCAACTGTCTCCTCAGACTACGATGAAGTCCTGACCTATGAGGAGATGTCCCTTTATCACCAGCCTGCCAATCGTAAACGCCCCATAGCTCTGATTGGTCCGACAAACAGCGGCCACGACGAGCTGCGTCGGAGGCTTCTCTCCATTGAGCCGGAAAAGTTTGCTGTCGCGGTGCCACGTAAGTTCACACATTGTCGAGGCCTGAGGACGTGGCAGCGATAAATGCACGACCAAATTTAGAATGAGCCACAAACACGTGTGAGTCAGTAAAAAATTCAAATAATTCAACTTTTACTTCACAAAATGTTCAAATTGTCATTTTAAGACACTGGTGCATAAAACTTTCCACATATTTTCAAAATATTAAAGTGACAAAAACATCCCGGTGATTTTGGAATTGAGTTGAAATCAACATTTTCCCATGTTTTTGATGTCTGATAGACACAACCAGGAACCTGAGGATACATGAACGAAATGGCCGCGAGTACCATTTCGTGAGTCGATCTGCCTTTGAAACCGATTTGGCGACAGGGAAGTTCATCGAGTCGGGAGAATACGAGAAGAACCTTTACGGCACCAGCACCGACTCGGTCCGACACATCGTCAACTCTGGACGTATCTGCTTGCTCTGCATGCACACGAGGGTAAAGACTCGTTCATACTGTCTGTCCACAATATTAACTACAGATGAACAAAATTACAGTTTAACATAAATCTCAGTTTGTCGGGTGATTAAAACTCTTCTGCTGTTAAATGGATCATAAAAACTTGACTAGAAAGTCCTGTTGTCTTGTTTTCATTCCATATATTCTTTGTTCTTCCTCTTGTCAGTCACTGCAAGTGTTGAGGACCTCCAACCTCAAGCCCTATGTCATCTTCATCGCACCTCCTTCTCAGGAACGACTACGCACCCTGCTGGCCACAGAGGGGAAAACACCAAAGGTATCCACTGTGCGATGCAGTATTTCACTGTGAAGTTCATGTTGTCATAGTTTTTCATATGACAAATGTTACATGTTTGAGCAAAATAAAGGCTGTAAAATTTGTCATAGGAAAGATAAAAAGAAAACGACGATAAGATTAAATATTTCAGGTTCCCTCTCACATTCTGCTTCTCTCTCTATCTGGTTTTTTTGTGCACAGCCGGATGAGCTGAAGGACGTCATCGAAAAGGCCCGCGAGATGGAGCACAACTTCGGTCACTTCTTCGATGCGACCATCGTAAACATGGATCCCGACCAGGCTTTCCACGAGCTGCGCAAGCTGATTGACAAGCTGGACACTGAGCCACAATGGGTGCCCACCTCCTGGCTGTGCTAGAGGTCACAGGGTCTCGACCCATCGAGTCTCGGGGTAGAAAGAGGTAAAACCGGAGAGCAAAAAAAAAATCTGAGACTGGAAAATGAAGGACAATGAAGGTCTGTGTGGTAAAATTGTCGCTGGATTTTCACGTGCACAAATCCTCGTTTGTAGAGGAGCTGATTTACCACATGTTGCAGGGACGGACTCAGTATTCTTCCATTTCTTTTTGTTGGTGTGTGTTGGTCTTTGTGGGTTTTTTGCTTTAATAAGGTTCTTGGTTTCACAGTTTTATGCAAAGTTGTTTATTTAACAAATAGAAATGTTTCTATTTCATTGTTAATAGTTATTTATAATTGTAAATATATATTTTCTAGACAAAATATTTTATTGTTACATTTTGTGTGTGCGTGACGTCTCAAACACTCGACGGAGTGTGTCGATGTCATGATGACTAAGTGACGATGTCCGTCACAGTACCGAACAGAAGAGAAGCACGTGTGCTCAGAGTGGCTGACGTCTTCTTTTCAGAAAAACACAAAAGCAAAACTTCTGCAGTGTTTTGTTGCTTTCTATGCACCAGTATCAGTATTAGTTCATCGTCTCATTTACACTATGATAACAGACCTCAAATCCTCCCTGTAGCAGGTATCATTACTGTCAGTGATATAAGTACTACTGTAAAGTATTGTATGAACCAAACATTATTTCATTTAGTGAAACTCCAAATAATACTGTATTGCTTCTTTGCAGGGTACTTTTTAAATTATAAGCACAACTCTTGTTTTAATAAATCAGTTTAAATATGTCAACAGGTGATGTACAAACTGATTTATCCACGTCGGAAGGTTTTCAGTCTTGGTTCTACATTAGCGACACTAAGTCAGCCTTTGCAAATGCCTGACTGATGTGTTAAATGTTGCATTCTGGTGCGAAATGCCTGCAATTGCTCACATAGTCAAGGAAATATGTCGACGGCACGATTCTTTCTTTCAATATATATTTGAAAAGCTTTAGTGAATGTGTAAATATCAACAAGAAGCCCAGGCAATGGTTGAATATGTCGAACATCTTTATTTGGATGAAGTCTTGGGCCTTGTTCACACGTTTTACAGCGGGGGTCATATAATAGGGGTCCTGGTGCAACGGTAAACATCCTCATCTTCATCTAATGAGGTGAAGACAACAACCCAGTGATATGAGGTCAGCAGTGTGACGCACCTCCGCAACAGACTCACACGCGCCTTGAAATCTACAACCACCTTTGAGCTTGTACAGCATGCAACGCCTCCGACTGTTGTGAGCAAACTGAAGTATTTACAAGTCGACCAAACCCACGGAATGCTTGTTTTTTAACGTCGCTCACAAACCACGTGTAAACACTTATATTCTTATTATTTAAATTATTTCATAACCGACTCCTCAACACTGGTTCTGTACAGTGACACACACACACACACACCTTCCAGCACCGAAACAACAGAACAGATCATCAAAGACAACGACAACAAAACAGCTTTCATCGATTTGCATGAGAAGACATAGACTTGGCCCGGAGAGGCACAGAATAAATAGGATGATGGAGCGATGTCGGCGACTCGTCAGCCCGGAGAGGCCGCATCACTCGAATAGCAGGTCCTCGTCCATCTCCTCCGTCAGCATGTTGGAGGGCTCCGCTATGGGACCCAGCTTAGCCAGACGGGCCGCGATCTCCAGCTCGGTCCTTTCCCTGAGCTGCTTCTTCTTCTCTTGGATCTTTTTCAGCCTGGAGCAGGAGGAGATGTAAGTTACCACGAAAAAAATACAATTAGGTGAGTAGCACGTGGGCTTTACTTCACTAAATAAAAAAGGTAAATTTCCACCTGTAGAACTCCTCTCGTTCTCTCTCATCCAGCTCTGTGATGATGTAGGTGAGGGTGCGATCAATCCTCGGGATAATCACTGAAAAGTGGAATAAACATGGTTCAAGCTGCAGTAACACATTTTTTTTTAAATTTAGTTTTAAGAAAGCAAGGCAACAATGTTTAATAGGGTGTGAACTCACCGTGCTCGATAGCATTCACACGGCGGTTGGTAATTTTTATGGCTTCATCCAGAGTGACAAATGATGTCTGCAAACAGAGAGTGGATAATGTGTGTCAGAATCCCTCTTGCAAAAATACACAGAGACGTAATGGTCATTTTCAAAAGGTTTCGTTTAAATACATAACTTGATATAACAAATATTCAAAAAGATTTAAAAAAGAAAGTAAAAGTACTCATATAAGGCAGAATTATTATTTATGAATCAAGGTGGATGGACTACTTAAGTACAGACTCATATGAAAATGCTCAACTTAATTACAGATAACTTGAAATTCTAGTTACTTTTCATCCCTGTCCACTTAATTTTGTCAAGTATCAAATCTAACAGCGCCCCCTACCTGTAAGGAGGCCAGCTCCACCAGCAGCTCCACAGCTCGGGCGTAGTTTCTCTTCAACCTGGAGAGCTGCTCTCCTCCTCTGGCCAGACCGGTCAGTTCATAACCTGGACAGGGTGAGAGGGTCCTGTTCAATCAGAGGCTCACAAAGACTGAGTCTATGTGACGATGTGAGTTCACACTGTCACAGAGCAACAACTGAGATGTGACTTACTGTCGCCGCCTTCTTGGTAGTGCTCAAAAACTGGTAGGGTGACACCTGACGGACAGTGAAAGTGTGCATCAGAACATTTCCTGTCATGTAACGATGATTCTCAGAAGAAGACGTTGACAGTTTTTTATTGTTTTTTTTTTAAGCTTACCTGCCACGTTGTCTTTCTTGGCCCGGACCTTCACTTGGGCTTTGTTGACGTTCTGAATTACAGTTGTGCTGTGGAGAGAAAATACCACACCACCCCCAGGGTCTTATAAAATTCAAAAATAGAAATTTCAGACACTAAAGAGTCCTAAATATATTAAAATATTATGTCTTAAGAATGTTTAAATGCTGAAAAACAACCAAAAAGACAGAAGTGAAACTGATGACTAATAGTTTACAAACGTCTGTGAGAAAGACTACGGATACCGACTGTCTCCGCCTGTAGATTGTGAGATTACGTATATAAATATTTATATATATAGTATGTGTTTTACTTGACATACGTCTTAAAATTCATTCATACTGGTCTTGAAAAACTGTCTAAACACTGTTGATTCTTACCTGAAGTCTCCAGCTGCAAATTTGGCTTCAGCCAAAGAGAAGGCCGCCTCTCTCATCACCTCCCCCATCTTGGTCTTAGTCTGAAAGAGGCAGAGATGAGAGGATGAAGTTCACAGTTTACTTCTCTGAGAGTCCATCTATCTGAAACCAATAAAACAACCTGAGAAACTGAAATGGACGGAGAATTAACTCATTTTCGACTGACCTCAATAATTTTGCGAAGGATCTGACGGAAGCGCATGGAGAGGGCGTCGGCTTTCTTCTTGAGCAGGTTGCGGCCGGTCTGTGCCCCTTTCAGCCGAGCTTTCATGATGGTCTGAGCCCTGCGATCAAACGTGTCATGTGTTAACTGGGTAATATGAGGGACACAGCTGAGCTACCATGATGTCACAGCTGGAACAACCTTTCAGTCAGTTTGCGAATATGACTGTGAATCCAAACTTTGTGCCTCCTCACCATTCTACTTTGATAAAAACATGAATCCTTCTTCTTCCTCTTGAGGCGTCTGATATGAAACAGAGCTGTATTTGAATCCATCCTCGTGCTGATGTTGCTGACATCAGGGTTTCATGTCTTTTCTATTTTTTTTATTTTTCTAGTCTTGGTTTCACATTAGTTTTGAGCTGGTATCATTTGGAGCGTCAGAAACTGGACGTACAAAGGGAAGTATTAGAAATGTTTGAGCTATTTTTTGGTCATAACTTTAGTTGAATTTAATATAAATAACCTTTAAGCGATGAGGATTCATTTGCAAACTAGCTTAAATAATATCCATATGTATTCTTCAACCAACCGCAGGGAGAGAGGGGGGGGTCGCAAGTCTCCAACAGGCTGTTGTCATAACTTCTTATTTGGAAAGAGGGGACGTGTTTGAGTGACACCACATTATTTGTGGACTGTGTCCTCTTCAAGTCTCAGGGGTCAGAGGCTGAAAAGTTTGGAAACCCCTGATGTCGAGTGTTGGAAAGTCACTCTGAGGAGAAATGTAACACATCACAGTTCTCTAGTTGAAAATGCTTAATTACAAAGATTGAATCATTTATTGTTTGATCTGCGCTCACATCACAGCCCACAGACATTTGCAACCGAAGCCTGGAGCTTTGGAAGGGGAACAAATTCAGATTTTTACACACACACACACACACACACACAGTCCTCTAACAGACACGATGGAACCAACATGGTAAAAAGGTTCAATCCTGCAGGACACAGCTGATCTGTAGAGGCTCCAGTGTTTCTGACCTCGGACAGACTGACAGCTCACACTCGGATGATGTTGAGCTTCATCACATGACACAGGGACTCTTCCTCTTTTCCTGGCTCTCACATAAACTAACACGAGGCTCAGATCACAGCGCGGCGCCGACCGACGTCCATTCACATCGAACGAACCAACGGAACCATCACGTGAGACGCTGGGAAGCAACGACAACAGATCTCAGCTAGCCCGGGGCTAACTAGCGGGCTAGCATCTAGCTTCTGCGAACAACTTACATTCTGGAGGGGAAAATGTCGATCCTCTCTTTTCCGGACATGTTGTCGTCTCTCTGTGGAGGATTCTAGTCTTCAGGAGATCTCGAATAAAAACCGGACACGTCCGCGTCAGTTCTGTGCACGCAGCTCAGGAGAGTCGGTTGTTTTTCCGTGCAGGATTAGCAGAACGCACCGAGCTGTCGGTCGTGATCTTGTCCGTGGTGACGATCAGCTGCTCCTCCGGTCATGTGACCCCCCCGCTCCGAACCACCACCACCACCCCCTTTTTTTTCTGCGCATGCGCGGGTCGCGGAGCTCGCACCATCTCTTCCGGGTCGAGCACTTAGCGCATCCATGACAGTGAGCTAACGGGCCCGAGTTCTCCGCTAAAAGACACCGAGAAGAAGGCACCAGAGGACGCTCAGACACCGTCAGCTCGGAACAAACCAGCGCATCGTCCTGTGAACATATGACACAGGTGAGTTCGTACCGAGGAAGTTTCTATTTTCACGGCAAGGCAGGGACGGCTAGCTGGCTAGCTAACGAGCTAACTGTTAGCCTCGGCTGCGGTGCATGTGCCGCATGTGAGCCGCGGACCGGCTACTAGCTGGGAGGCTAACGGATAAAGAAGCAGCTGTTTTAATGAGTTGTTCGGTGGGATCATCACTCAGAGATGTATTCTGGGTTATCGTGCTAATGCTAGTTTCTAACCAGCCGCCTGTTTGCGGGGTTTCTCACGTTAGCTTTAGCTCTGAACTTTTACTCGTTTCTGCGTTGCATCATCTCATTCACTGTGAAAAACGTGAAATGAAACGTCCACCTCGGTGTTTTCACTCTGCTCTTGGTGTCTGGGATCGTTGTGCAGATTAAAGTCGGTGATTCAAACATCTGTGAACCACGACAGCTGCCCTGAAGCCGAACGAACAAACCTTACCTTTAAATGTGTTCGTTTGAGAGACGTTTCTAATATCTGCTGCTCATCGTCTCTATCGTGGACTAAATGTGAGAATACAACACAATCCATGTTTCCTACCATTGAACCAGTGATAAAAACTGTCCCTGCTTCTGTGTTAATGTGGGTTTTGTTGTAGATTTGGACTAAATTGTCCTTTAGTTTCAGTGGAATCTTCTTTTTGTTGTATATGTGTAGAGTAATGTTTCCACAGATCCTGGTTTGACGATGAATGGTGGAGACTCGTGGAGATTCAGTTTCACATATTTAATCTGATAAATCCATTAGTTGACTGACAGAAAACCAATTAGTTGCTGTTTTGATCATTAATTCATCTTTTTTTAATCACTTTTCTGAACAAGACAAGTCAGAATCCCCTGGTTTTAGTTTCCAACTGTAAAAACAAAATGTAGTGAATTTAATTCCTCTTGTTTTGCTCTGTTTGTCAAAAACTGAGTTTCAGAATACTTGAGGTATTGACCAAACAACAAATTGAATAATCCATAAACCAATCAACAGATAAATTCATATAAATAATTCTTATCTACATCATTTTAGTTCCAAACTTACGGGCTGTGAAAATGTACATTTCTCGCTTCACTGATTCTGTCAATGTGTCCCAGTAATGGACCCATTGTTCTTTGGTGCTGCGTCAGCATTCACCTCCAGATCAGTGGTTCACATTTTCACTCGTTGTGATTCCCTAAAATGAAGCAGTTTCCATTTTATCACAGTGTGGAGACTAATTGTCAGCAAGTTTTTTCCAATTCAGATTGTTTGATTCTTCAACCTGAAGATCTAAAACGATTTGGTACTAAATCTTAAGATCCTAGTCCATGTCTCGAGGATTAGTTAATTAATTAACTAACTAATTAATTATAATTTAGCTCTACAATAATGTAAATTGGACAAAACTCTGTTTCAAAGGGACAACCTACTAATTTAGTCTTGTACCTTGAAGTTGTGAGACAAAGGCCTTGATGCTCTTACCCTTCCTCATTAGTTTCTAAAGAGAGAGAACCTTGATCACATCGCTATGACACACTTTCCCAAACTTTATATAGTTTCCTTCAGAAGCCAATGATCTGTCTCTCACTCCGCGTCTCACTGTCTCTGTCCTCGCAGCGATGCCGGGGCTCAGCTGTCGATTTTACCAGCACCGGTTCCCAGAGGTGGAGGATGTCGTGATGGTGAACGTGAGGTCCATCGCCGAGATGGGCGCCTACGTCAGCCTCCTGGAGTACAACAACATCGAGGGCATGATCCTCCTGAGCGAGCTGTCACGTCGACGTATCCGCTCCATCAACAAGCTCATCCGCATCGGCCGCAACGAGTGCGTGGTCGTCATCCGAGTAGACAAAGAGAAGGGTGAGTGCATTATTGTGAATATTCTCTTTAATATCCTTTATGATAGTGATTTTGATGATATTCCATCTTGAATTTCTTATGATTTGTTGTGATGAAAAGGTTTTTTTTTGGTAGAAAATAGGTTGAATTGTTTGTTTCTTAGAAATTACAGCTTTTTAGGAATTTCTATAAGCATATCTTGTGAAATTTCCTACTTAAGAAAAAGATAACATTTGTTATTTCATCGCAGCAACAGAAACAATTCCAGAATTCAGCCTGTACTGACACCGTGGAGAGAGACGTGTTGTGAAGCTTGATTCAACAAGTCATCAGTGCTTTTACCTGATAAATTGACCATTTAAGCTAATTAATCGATTTCCTCTTTCCGTAGTTGATCGTATCTTCAGTAATAACATCTCTTCTTCTTTTTCCTCAGGATACATTGATCTATCAAAACGAAGAGTTTCACCAGAGGAGGCCATCAAGTGCGAAGATAAATTCACCAAATCTAAAACTGTAAGTTCAATTATTTTACCCCGAAAAACCTTTTTTTGTAAAAGTGATTTAAAGGAAAAATCGATAAAGGAAACATCAGGAGACAAATCAGATTTTGATCATTCACGTTTCCGTGGTTATTTGTAAAGTTACCAGTGTGTTTGTGAGTTTGACTGGAGGTGTTGTGTTTCGAAGGTGTACAGCATCCTGCGACACGTGGCGGAGGTGTTGGAGTACAGCAAGGACGAGCAGCTAGAGAGTCTGTACCAGCGCACTGCCTGGGTCTTTGATGAGAAATACAAGCGGCCAGGATACGGAGCTTACGATGTCTTCAAACAAGCTGTGTCGTAAGTTATTTTAAAACGTCGCGTGTTTGTGTCAGGCCATGAAAACCTGTTCATTTACTGTCCCCCGCCAAAACATCAGCAGTAATTTTTGAATGTGTCCTCCAGTGATCCCGCCATCCTGGACTGTCTGGACCTAACAGAAGAAGAGAAGAACGTGCTGATTGATAACATCAACAGGCGACTCACTCCGCAGGCTGTCAAAATCAGAGCAGGTAAAACGGAGCCGTCCATTTAATGCATCTTAGATGATGCACAAAGCTGTGAAACTTCAGTGTCACAGATCGTAAAATATGAAGTAACATTGTTCTTTCTTTCTTCACCCTCCCTGTAGATATTGAAGTGGCGTGCTACGGGTATGAGGGCATCGATGCGGTGAAGGAGGCTCTGAGGGCCGGACTCGGCTGCTCCACAGAGGCCATGCCCATCAAGGTAATGGTGCTCCCCTTTTCACAGGAGTAACGTTGACTCCCAGTCAACTGAATTTGTTGAGGTTCCACTGGAGACCTTCAAAATTGTGTTTTTATTTGAATTCTGTGCGTGTCGGACAGATTAATCTGATCGCCCCCCCTCGCTACGTGATGACAACGACAACTCTGGAGCGCACAGAGGGTCTGTCTGTCCTCAACCAGGCCATGGCTGCCATCAAGGAGAAGATCGAGGAGAAGAGAGGCGTCTTCAACATCCAGATGGAGGTGAGCCACATCATTTTCTTATTGTTTGGTTTTATTCAGTTTGTTGAAGTTCAGTATTTTCCCAGGTGCACAGTGAGAATGTAGAAATCATGACTATTCTTTAAAAATTGATTTGGATGTTTCTATATACAAATTGGCAACGATTCCGAAGATGTTCTTATCAAACGCTTTTGAAAAAAATATAATTTAAGCTTGATATTCTACATTTTTAACATCAGTATAAATAAATAGAAAACACAAATACAACCAAATACATAGAACAGTATTTTATAATATGAGGATACAATTCAAATTTAGATTTAAGAATAAACGTGTATCTCAAATATAATATGAATTATTTTCTTGAAATTCTGCAGCTTGCAAATCTACGACTGTATCTCATAAATGTTTCTAATTACATAACTTCTCAATCACGTTATCACAAATATCAAAGTTATTCTTTCATCATTACAATTTTCAAATCAAATATTACACATTTATCCTCAGAATTAGCATTTTCCCTCAAAGTTGAGACCAAAATACTTCTTTCTTTTTATGTGGGACAAAACAGAATATCACTGTAAAAACAACTAAACTTTGAACTCTCCCCTTCAGCCCAAGGTGGTGACGGACACGGATGAGACAGAGCTCGCCCGGCAGCTGGAGAGGTTAGAACGAGAGAACGCTGAGGTGGACGGAGACGACGACGCAGAGGAGATGGAGGCCAAAACAGAGGACTAGTCCTGTCCACGGGAAAGAAGGCTGGTGGAGGGAAAGCGTGGAAAGACCCGGCATTCGTCACTCAGTTCAACAGATGTTAATGTTCACATTACAAACATTAACCGGTGGTTGTTCATTGGTAAACATTCAGGTTTGTTCATTAGCAGGGTTTGTCTCAGAGGGCGGTCTCTCAAAATACTGTCCTCTCAGTCAGACTTGGACACATTAAAGTTAAATCACAAAATTATTCATCATCATAGTTTCTACTTTTAAGTTCACCCATTAAGATAAGTGATAACGGCAAAAGGTGTTTACAAGCAGTGGCCTTGCATCTTGCTTTAAGAGCCCAGTGTCTTCAGTGTCCATGACTCTTCATCTGTGGTCACTGTTTGTGGGTAAAGAGGAAAGCACCGGTCGTCTGTCTCCCGGTCACCGGTGGCTTTATTTTGTGATCTTTCTCTCCCAGCTCAAGGGTTTTTACTGGCAAGTCCTGCTCTTGTTTAGCTTACATGGCATCAATAAAGCTCTGGAAGTTTTGATCTCAGTGTGTCTTTGTCAGCTGTTGTTAATAGATAGAAATGAGTCGCTCTAAGTTAGAAATGGCTGTGACTGATGGGTAAATTTATCAAAAGATTAAAACAGAATTTCAGTGACAATAGTAGAAATTGTTCAGAAGCCAAAAAAAATTCAAGAAATTAGTGAAAATTTTAAGTTTTGAGTCAATTTGTTAAAACGG